TTTTGCAATCCGTACATCCAATACGGAGAAATCCCACCGAATAGGAATGTGGTAAAACAGGGGGGCTTTAGCATCGCCTTAACATTGTTAATATGTAATATTATTCCTTTTAATTTTTATATATTGACAACTATTATATATGACAATTAAAAGACTAGGTACCTGGTACATAGTCTGAACTAAAGAAACTGCAAATTAATTTTTTTTTCAGGATTCTGAAAAAATGTAACAGTATAGTAGTCTTAAGATATTTTGTATATATATTGTAATCTTTTTATTTGTATTTTTATATTTTTTATTTTACAATTAAACTTATAAAACTTTCATTTATATTTGCTTGCTATTTTAGCGATTAGACTGTTAAAATTTTTATTAAAGTAAAAACAAAGACACAATTATACATAAAAAATAAAATAATATTTCTGTAATTGCACTACTGCCGGAATATCTAAATAGAAATATAGAATAATTTTAAGTAATTCAATAAAAAGTTAGATTTCAAAATATAAAACAAAGAATTACGTAAAAAAAATACTGTTTTTTTAAATCTGTATCGCTTTTTATTTTTTGGTCACCGTATCAAATCTCTAAGGAACCATATATTGAAAACAGATTTTAGCACCAATTAGATTTTATATGTTTAGATTTAATGAACAGTTCTATTATTATTTTATCATTCTAGAATATATATCTATCGATATATATTCTCAATGAGAATATTAGAAGAATATTGTTTTATATTATGCATTAATGTGAAAAACATAAATAAAACCTATTTGTGCATAAACTATAAACAACACATTTTATTAAAATTACCAATAAATTATCATTTTACCATAATTTTACCGTAAGTAATTGTTAAATTGAATTTGACGGTAATTTTACATCTCTAGCCACACAGCATGCATGTGTTACATGAGTATAATGTAAATTGAAATCTTTACACTCCCGACGAAACTTGTCGTTTCGTCGGGAGTGTAGATTTCAATTTTTCTCGCGTAAACATTGACATCCAACAAAGTGTCAAAAACAATCAGGAAAAGTGAGAGACGTGCATCACTAAACTTAAGGGCAGATAGAATGCAAATATCGCCTCGACTAGATGTTGTACCTTTTGAAGAGTCATCGTAACCGATGTGTTTTACTGTATCACGAACGATCTTCTGATAATCCACTACAGCCTTTGATGTAATTTCTCCGCACAATAATATCATCCCAGTTTTTGTTACGGTTTCTGTTAAATAAAAATTTTGATAATTGTACATAAACTATAATAGCTACATAACAACATTATATATTTAATGCAAAATAGTGACTATATTTAAAAGACATTAAATAAAGTGTTAAGGCAACCACAATAGATTTGAAAAAAATTTTTTCTCTTTCAAAAGTTAATTTTGATTAATTTCAATAATATATATTGTGAATGTAATATAGTTAGAAGTCAAAAGTTTCGACCTAAAACTAGTTCGGGACCGAACAAACTAATTTATAAATAGATACATATATTCAAGTGCTTGAAGAAATCAGCACTGTCTTGGCGAAACTTACCGCATGCTACTTTAGCGTCAGGATCTTGTTTCAGGTGTGCATCCAAAATGGCGTCGCTTATTTGATCACACATTTTATCTGAAAACATAAGATATATAAATCTACTAATTCAGATGAATTATTAAGTAAAACAAATAAGTTGGGTTGTTCCACTTTTCGATAAATTTCAGCTCACTCTCTTACTCTCTTATGTTCTTACTCTTTTACTCTTTTGTTTATCCAATAAGTAAATTGCTTCATAGGTTATCTAAAGATGGAACAACCGGCCCTTAGAGAATTAGGATCTACATATAATAATTAAAATCTTATTAAAAAAACTTTATTACACGAATGTAATAAACAACAGAAAAAAGTGAATTTGAATGAGTATTTTCTTTCATTTTTTATTTATTTATTTAAATATTAGATGTATTTACCGGACACACTAATCACAATGACAATAAAAGGTATATTGTTCGATTTGCATGATTTGGACAAAAATAGGAGACATATAATAGGAGCTCTTATTCTTCACGACCTTAAAGTGACCCTATCTTTACATCGTTCCGTTCTATTCAAATGTAAAAAAAAATTTGTATGCTACATATGAAGTATACAGAGTATAAGATGAGATTTACATAAAAAATATTATTTAAAGGAATAATGGTTAGTTTTTCTTCTGTCTGTATTATAATTTAAGACAAATGGTAAATCGCTAATCCAAGATTAGTTCACCTAAATTCCTCACATGGCTCGTGAACTTTCTTTCTTTATCTTTGATATAATTAGAACCATGGTGTAGAAAGAAAAAATGTTCGTTGACATTGTTAGGGATTATATAAATATGTTTTTTTTGTAAAATCACTGATGAAGACTTTGTAAGTTGAAACGTTTGAGGTTTTTTAGCGTTATACATATGTAATTAAAATTTGAATTTTATTAATTAACTATTATTGCTCGTTTATAATAAAAGCCTTGACATTTTAATTTATTGTGTAGCATTTACACGAGCCTATTTCTCTATAAGAAAAAATAAGTCGCGTTAATAATCTGCAAAGATAATTAACAACACGAGCAAAAAAAAATGAATTACCATTTTTCGAATTAATTAAGTTAAAAATAATTATTTTTCGAAATAATTAAGTTAAAAATAGTCGATGTGGTTAAAAGACATAGAAATTACGACTACTTTAAAACCTTGAAAAATAAATTACAACATTTAAAACCAAAGTATAAACACATGCAGAAATGCAATTTTATTACAACTATTTCAGATTGGATATTAGAAAGAAAGAAGTTTACATAAGCAATTGATAAATGCAACATAAAGTACCATGGACATATTTTTTTTTAATAAAATTATTTTAGAAAAAATTTTAATAAATAAAGCAGATCTACAGAACACTACATTTCTGTTAATTTGACAGAATAAAGTGAATTTTTTGGTGTCTTACTAGATTATTTTTTATCAAATTGAAAGATTTCGTCAACTATCCTTACGGTTAATTACAGAAGTTTTGTTTGATTTTGATCTGTTTTTCATATCCAAGATAGTTAAAATATAGATACCGCTAAAATCGTACGGTATCTATGGTTCGGTGATAACCATGACATTAAAAAACCGTTTACAAACGAGTGTTGGGAAAAAGTAAAAATAGAAAAAATAAGGAAAGAAGAAAGGAATGCTGACTTGACGGCGATTAGACCTAAATCCCTTGACATCAATGACTGGTCATTTAGAAAATTTCTATTGGAAATACAGAAAAAAAAGAAATAAAATGACATATAGCATTATTAAGACATTAAACAATTTATTTTTATTACACAGGGTATAACAAAAAGAAATTATGTCATAACATGTGGACATAATTTCAGAAATAAATTTATGGCATAAAAATAACACAAAAAATTCATATAAATATTTGTTTTATCTTTAATTTTCGAGTTATAAACATTTCATATTTCATTAATTCTCATTATAAATTTATGCCTAAGTTATTTTTATGTCCTGAATTCATTTATGAAATTATGCCTACCCTGTTATGTGTGTGTGTATAATATATACTGTGTATACAATTATATGTATACAGGATATTTTTGCATATAATTATAATATTTTATTTAATATGTGAAATGATTTTTACTTTGTTCAACCTTGAGAAATGATATCTGATAGATACTATGTTTAATGCAACATTACATTAGATTATTAACGATTGTTATCATAAAGATTAGGACGTATTAGTATATCAGATTATTAGATAAAAAATAAATATTGAATATTGTGACTCACGTTTTTAGTACATCAGTAAAAGTAGTATTTACGTTTGTATGTGAAAAATATTTTATACAATATGATTAATATCGACTCAGCAAAAAAAACTTAAAACGATTAAATAATTCCTGTCTACTTCATGCTCTGATCTTGCATTTCTTACAGATAAGCATTACAACAGTAGTTACAAATAAAATTATCGTTATGGTTATTTATTAAGACCAAGTGTCGCGATTTTAAGCGTCAGTCTCTCACGGGCTTTAAAGTCAGTTCTTGAACATTCTGGTTAAGGTATGGGAAGTCAAAATAAAGAATAAAGAAACATAAACAATCATAGAGGGGTCTGTTTCTATATTGCTTAAATCATAGCTTCGTCTCTCTCTTCATCTTTCTTTCTTTCTGTCCAATGACAAAATACAATGAGTTCTATCTTATGTTGACGTTTTTATATTTGGAATTTAGACAATCAATATATTAACGATTGACCAGTGGAAAGTTAATCGATCCCGTAAGAAGAAACATCAATAAACATTAGAGTATCGTCAAGAGGTACTCTGTTTAAAAAATATGGAACAAAGTATATTTCGATTGCAAGCTCGCATTAAAAAGAGTTCTTTTAGATAGCAGAGTTATCTCATATACATTATTCCAGTAATATTACAGCAACGCATTGCAACATTCCAATAATATTGCAGTAACATTGCAAATATTACTGCAAGTTTCTGATGTATAGGATCTCGCTCTATGTAATAATATCCTGTTATGCTTCTTGCATTGAAGACGAAATGAATAATCATTTTTTGTAATCATTTTTTAGAGAATAATATACATTTTTTGGAGAACAATAGAAGATTCAAGATTTAAATCTAATGTCTATTTTCTATGCTTGAACTAGTGTACACTTTTGGAACTTAAAGTGAGATACGTATATATTTTATATTTGTCAAAAGCGAGAAAGAGAGTAGTCTAGTGCAGGAACAAAAAAATAGACCACTAAGAAAAATAGAACAATTAAGACTATGAAACAAAAAAATTAAACAGTAAAATGTAAGCGAATTAACCAATCAAGTAGAGATTGTAAGGCAATAATGTAAGCTGTCAACAAATCCAAAATATTGATTCATTTACTTCTTAACTTTTGTGTATGTTATAACCTTATTCTATAATTGAGAAAGAATAATGAGAAAGAATAGTTGTAGTTGTAATGGACTTTCTACAATATGTTGTTAATAATAGATTAGAAGTTAGGTGCCAGTTGTAAGCGAATCTTATTCTTATACATGATGTCCAATGAAATCTGGCTAGTCAATTCAAGAACATTCGGGATAAAAATCTTAATTTTTCTAGGATTTATCCATCGATTAATTTTTATTATGAAATTAATTTTCAACGTTTACGTAATATTATACGCTTTGTATTTTTCAAGTTAGGGCTCTATATGACGAATGAATTAAAACGCTAACAATATTATTTATTAATTATTGCTTTATAAATAATATCAACAGATGCAAAAAGTTCAGCTAAGAAGAACCGGCCTCGTGATTCGCGCCGATCGCACAGCGCGATCAGCGCGAGCACATGGTGGCGGTGATGTGCACGGCCAGATCATCATGTCGGCGAGAATGAAAAATGCGGGAGCTTCCCGCCGAAATTTAGGAGAAGCGAGGAACTGAGTTTCATTCACTCGGGAATCGAACGGTATGCTTTCTTTTCCAAAACATGGCTATTTTCGGTGGTAAGCGTCACCGGAGGGCATTAAAGAAGATGCGATTAGCGTCGATCGAGATCTGTTCTGAGAGGAGAAAATGAAGGGGGTAGGAAAAAGCGCGACACGCTCCCTCCGGGAAGCGATCCTGTTCCATGGCGGCGTACACGGAACGGACGATGGTGATAGTGCTGAGTCGCGTTCGAAATATCATCTCGGTGTATTTAGATGTCGTTTTATCCGTGTCCAACATTCGGTGAATAACAAGGATAAAACGACATCTGGATGCACCCAGATGATGATTCTGAGCGCAGCCCTGCTGGTAGAGAGGGTGGGAAAGTCGCAATGTACAGGGGGACGTAGAACGAGAGGGAGAGAGAGAGAGAGAGAGAAAGACAGAGAGAGGGAGAGAGAAAGATGGAGAGAGATCAAAGTTTTTTTCGACCGATACAGAATCACTCTGGTAAGGGCCCTCTAGCAAAGTGAGACGGTCCTCAGATCACTCACCTGGGTGTCCCTCGCCAACAGACTCCGATGTGAACAGGAACGCGGTATCCTGCTGCAGCTCAGGCGGCGCGTGGCCATTCGCGTAGCCGTTCATATGGTGTGCGGTCTCCGGCATCTTTCTACGTTTCGGTGTCGTCGCCGCCGTAGTCGCCGCGTCGCCTTGTAGCTGGTATTCGTTACTCAGATTCGTTCTGGGTGTATCGCCCACACCGTTGAGTTTTTTTTAACGTGAATGGCCGTCTGCACTGCGGGCGAACGTCTCTCCACGTGCCTTCTCCTCCTCCTCCTCGTCGTCGTCGTCGTCGTTGCCTCTCTGCGTTTACGCGCGCTCTGCTCCGAGTTACCGTCCGCGTGGTCGGTGTAGTGCAATCGAGCGAGTCGCGTTTTTCTTGTAAGAGATATTATATACTATACTTACTTGTAGTTACTTTCGTCGAGAGGATACGCGAGCGAGCGACAGTGTGCACGACTTGCACGAGAGGAGAGGTGGATCGAATTGTGAGAGAGCCCGAGCTCCACACAGGCACACGGCACACCGCGTAATGATCGCCGATCGGGACCGCCGAAGCGAACCGAGCGAGCGAAGCGAACAGGCGAAGCGAACAGGCGAAGCGATTAGCGAAGCAACGCGTCGCGACGCGTAGCGGAAAGTTGAAGACTCTCCGCAGCCTACCGTCCTCTATAATTATAACCTCGCTCCGCCTCACTTACCTCGGTTTACCTCCGGCCGCCTGTATGATTGGTCGGGATGCAGTCACGTGACGCTACTGTACGCTCGCCGCGAAATTTGAGTTGAACGGAGTCCCGTCGTGCGTGTTCGACAATTGTTATTCGCACTCGTTCACTCTCGTTCGCTCTCGTCAACTCCACGTGCTCCTACAGAAAACGAAATGCGCGTTATACGGCGTCTATAATGAGATTTTAAGGCGTGAAACTTAGGATCTGTTCTTAACTTTTAACGATTGTAACGATATCCTTGTATTGTCTTTGCGCAGTTTTTTTTACTACGCACAAAACTTGCAACGTAATGTAACGTAAATAACAGTCGTTAAGAATTATAGAATAGAATTCTTTGAGGCAGAGTCTGAAGACTGAGATTTCGAATGACTGGAGATTTTAATTGTAAAATTGGATAATCGTATTGAAAATTGTTTCTCTCGCGAGAGGAACAATTTCTGAAAATGTTAAATTTTTCTATTTTTTTAAAAAGATGCAATTCTTTGATAAGTTTTGGCGAAGAACGGATGTAGACTGATACGCGATTTCAGTAAGATAAATTTATTTATATACAAGTTCATTATAATTTTACATTTTTGCACATACATATATATATATATATATATATATATATATCAAATCGTTCATTTATTATTAAAATATGTACAAGTATTTTATGATTAAATAATATATAAAATATTTTAAAGAAACAAAAACTGCGCACTATCTATAGTGCCAATTCCCAATTACCTGTTCATCATTTGTTTACTTTTTTTGAATTTATTATCTTGAGAATTTAGTTCGAATTTATTTACCACACCTATTAAAATATATTTTAACAATAAATATTTACTTATATCAATATTTGGTAAATATATAAAGATATGAAAAATAATAAACGGGCACGTAAATTTATTAAATGTATTATTATTAAATTACGTAAATTTATATATGTCATTGTAATATTACATTATTGTAATCTTTTGTATATATATGTATATATATGTATATACATATATATACATATATCAAATATTTTATTTATTGCCAAATATTTTGACAACCCCAGTAAAAAAATGCATGAATATGTAGAGGAAAACCTCCTATTATAAGAGATAAATATGAGATAGCGGCATTTCTGTTAAACTACACAGAGAAAAAGGTTTCTTTGGGTTTAGTATTCCTATTTTATTTGACTAAAATAACAAATTTATTACATCCAAAGAAATATTTTTCTATGTGTGATTAATAAAAACGCTATCTATTGGTTCCACCATGAATTCATTGCTTTTGGATTGAAAACTATTTAGTGAAAAATTCATTATTAGATCATGCCTGTAGTCGTTGTAAAAAAAGATTTTAGAATTTGGATGTCTTCAAATTTCATTGAGAGCCTTTAAATCATGTTTATTATTTAATAAGTAAATATTTGGCAATAAATTCTTCATGTAGTGATAAAGTAAGGTCGTAATAATACAAAAATACGGGACATGTTAAATTGCTTAATTACAGAAGTTAGATTTGATGATCATAAAACCGTAAGGCGTGGAAATCGTAATATGAGATACTCAGGATATTTCTAATATGAAATAACCTATTCCGTTCCTGTGTCATAGTAAAAATTATTGCTGAAGTATGAATGTTATTGTACAATAATAAAATTCATTGTTTTTTGGTTGCGACTGTTGCTAGATTGATATACGTAAAGAGAATATGAGAAATGCATTAACAAATATTTTTATGCAAATATTTATTAACCGCTGTGGTTATTTGCATTGAAAACTCTATCCAGTATTTTAAGAACATTTTTAAACAATTATTTGTTTTTCTCGTTACATTGATTTTTTATAATCGCGAATACATTTATTTCTATAATGTTATGATTTAACTTAATTTTCACAATTTCTATTATCGAAGGATTATTAGAATTATTATTGTAATTTTCTTCGACTTATAAATGAAGTATTGATACTTTTAAATATGATCCCTTAACTTTCGAGTATGCGAAATTTAAACTTCATTAAACGGGAACATATAATGTATATGTATCTAATCTAAGCTTGAAGGACATTGTGATAAGTTTAAGATTTATTTTGATATACTATAACGTTCTCCCCCCTTCTGATTTATCAACATGACACTATGATCTTTACGACGAATAATCACTTTTAGGATTTGCCCCGTTATACTTTACACTCGGAAACGTTATCGAAGTTTTTAACATTGCATCATGTACAGAGTTATCTCGAAAATTAAAAAATAAAAAGTAATCCTCTGTATCTGCATAATTCTCATGTTTAACACAAATTGTAAAATTTTGTGTTCTTAATGCTCAATCAGTCGCTCCGAGACATCGAAATGATTTTTAGCATTGTGCGGGCACAAAGCTGAAACGTTTCGAATCCAGAATTTTATTCCGATAATCAGGTATATCACAAAATAAGATAAAAAGACATAAAATAAAAGTCATTTCAGAAATAATCATAATGATTATTCGATATACTTTTGATGATGATTTTGTAATCATAATTAAGTTATAATGATATCGTAGGACGTTGTCATGATGTCATTTGATACTTAAAAATGAACTTATAAATGACAAATAAGACATCGTGATGATATCCTTTTGATATTATAATGACTTCTGTGTTCTACTTGGAGGAATTGTTGACATGACAATGATATTTAAGTAACTTTTTTTAAATTACTTAAAAACCATTGTTATGTTAAGAATTTTAATTGATCTTTTATTAAAAAGGAAGTTAGTTAAAAATCATTGTTATATCAAAAACTTCATTAAAAAATTTTTATCAAAAGTGTACCGAAAGATATTATGATTTTTCCTAAAATAACTTCTACCTGACATCATTTTGATCTTATTATGATTTTATGTTTTACCAGGCGGGCATTATTATTGCTGTAATGTATAAATAAATAAAAACCAACAATTTAGCCTAGATACCTACCGATAATACTGATCAAGTGTTTACCACGTGATTCTAAGTTGCTATCTTTGAGTTCCAACTCGTGAAATGCTGAATTCCGCGTCTTTTGTAGCGCTGTCGCGTTTTTTTTACACAGCCGGAAATCTAATTCGCACAGGACATAAGAAAAATAAGCCACAAAGTTGCAATACTCGAGCACAATATTCAGAAGAGACGAACGTTATCGTCACTCGACAGAATTACACTATGCGAGAGTGTGCAAACTGGCTAGACTTTTATATATCACTTAGCGAATCGAAAAACTCTTGGAGTGGAGTGGGATCGGTAAACCCGCAACTGTATTAAAATGCTCGAATGACATCAGTTTGCAGCAAATTGCACAAGTGTTTATGGTCTTATTTGTTTTCTTGGAGCGATGGAAATATAATTTAAAATCTGTAGTGCTGCTATTCTATAACTTTTAACGACAATGTTGACATTATCGTTACACAGATATTATAATATGTGGTAAAAAGGTTGCGTAACGATAATATAACGATACCGACACTATTGTTAAGAGTTATAGAATATAAAGGATCTCATCTTTTTGTTTTTGAATATAAAGCTGAATGTAGAATTATAGATGAATAGGAGTTGAATTTATCTAAATTTATTTACGTAATTAAAATTATTCAGAATTGCTCAAAATTTGTGACAAGATCGTTGTTAAAGAACTATAAAATAAAACAGTTTTCAAACAAGCAATCTTGAACGCAACAATCCAGGAAACTAAATAGCTTTAAACTAAATTGGATGAAACTAAAAAGATCTGAAGCAAATATTTTTAAAATTCGTAATCTATGAAACTATTAAATTTCGAATTTGGAAGTTTCGAATTAGGAATATATATATGGTTTGCTTACAAATGCTTACAAACAAGAATTTACGAAGCATTTGTAGGCATCAAAAATCTTTGTAAAAACATAATAATTTAAAAAATAAATTATTCTCAATTGTGAAAAAATTACTTTCAATTATAATAAAAATAAATTCTGTACTTGCGGAAGTATAATCTTTCAAACGTGAGAACTTTAGAATCAGCTATTAAAAAATGTGCAAGCAAGTGAGATATTCGAATTTCTAATTAATTTCTTGTAATAAAATGTTATATATACATATACTTTATTATTGATAATTTTGCTTATGGTAAATCTTATGTACTTCTTTTTAACAATTTGACTTATGGAAAAAATATGCAATACACGACTAGCATGTCGTAATCACAATCAAAGTTGTCCATCATTTGAAGTGTCAAGCGTTAATGACGTTAAAGTTGCTGATCATTTTATACGTCATATACGTTACTCGTAAATGACGAGTTGTGAATCATGTTAATGAACGTGAAACGATTGTGTGATGACTAGCACTTAAGTTTAAACGCGATAATGATTATCACCCAATATCTTTGATACTTACTATAAATAGAACTGATCTTTTAGCTATTCAATGGAATAAATAGCACTCATTAATTATAAAGGTAACCGTTAATTAGTAATAAATGTAGTAAATGCAGTAAATATAAATAATTAGTAGGGGAGAGGGGGGGGGGCAGCTTTGTACAGAAGCAGCTTTCAACTTCAACAAATTAAAAATGAACTGTCCTCTTCTGCGATTATGAATTGTATTTTTTGAAATGGCAATTATACAGTCACAGATAACCGTCAAGTGATAGCTGCCGCGGTTGCAATTATTAATCTAATCTAGAAGCATTTTGTGTTTTTG